ATACTTATTAAATTCAGTTTTATCATTTAACTTTGGCTCCAGTTCAAGGAGTTTTAGATTCGTAACAAGAGCCTTGTTTCCAATACTGATTTTTGGCAAGGAAAAATGCTAATTTATCAGAGGTTCTAAAATACAGTGAATTTTCCAGCCCAGCCCGGAAACGTTACCTACCTAGAGAAGAGGTTTTTCATGAGTGTGTCACAGAGTGGCAGGTGGAGAAACCCCGTTAGTTACAATCCCAGTGTGCCTCTGGCCACTGAGTGTGCTTCCACTCCAGGAGCTGCAGCACACTCAGGAACTCCCAACCACAAGTATTACATGCTTCACTGCAATAATATTGCTGATCTTTATGTAGAAATTTATCCTTCTTCAGACAACAGTTTCTCCATGGCCACCTCAGAGATGTCAAGGTACATAATCATGCCCTGGGGTCTTGGACCATACTCCGTGTAGGAAGTGGTACTGACTTAAGGTCTGTACAGAAAAGATGCTGTTGAAGGTACTTTTCCAAATCCGATAATTTGGTCCCAACCTAAGAGGCCAAGAGCATCCTTGAAGCACAGAGGGGATCAGGGGAATGCTGCTGGCATGATCTTCAGTGAGCCTCTGTAACCACTACCCTGAAACCACGAACCTGCTCCTGCTCCAAGGATTCCTGGCGTGGCAACAGTCTCCTTAGAGGGGACCATCTGCTCCAGGGTCTCACAGAACTGCACTGAGCTGGCACAAAACTGAAACAGGCCACGAAAAGAGCTTCACAGGGTGTATAAACCTGCAAAGAGTCAATAGTTCCTCGGCAGGTGATTGCCCAGCACTTTGCAGTCCTCCTTCCCGCTTTGTTTGCTGTGCTGGTCTCTGCCTCAGTGCTGCAAAGCAGCTCAACTCCAGCTCAGAACTGGCTGTCCTGGCAACTGTGCTCATGGGCACGAGCTCGAGAGGTCTGAGTGGGGTAAGAGGGTTGTGGGCAGCTGTGTTGGGCAACAGACCACTGTGCAGCAACATCAAATGCACAGCACAGGAGAGGGGTCCCAGAGGGCTGTGAGGATCTTTGCTAGCAACTGGAAAGTCAGTTCCAAAAATCAACAAGATAATTTGAGAGGGACAGTCAGGAAGGGGCAGACTGGGGTACAGGCAGGCTCAGGGTGCTCAAAGCCTACCCAGTGCTTGCCTGGGCCACCTCAGGTTCAGCTTCACCTGGGGGATGAGAGAACCACTCTCCAGCTACGTCACCAAGCAGGAGGAATGAAGGCTGCAGATAGCACCGAGCTGACTCTGGGTGACCCAAGAGTCTCTGCAAGCCCTGTGGTGTTACCACATTTCTTTCTATCCATGGGTTCAAGCCTGAGTTATCTGAGACACCGGTTTCCGGCACTCAACAAGGAAGATGTAAAATCAACAGAATTTGATGAGCTGCCAGGGATTTGACTAGGCTACAAAGACTTTGATATTTTACAGAAGCTCAGAATGAAAATCAGCTGCTGCTGTTGCCAAGTGTATGTTACTGTTTTTATTTAAAAAAACAAAAAAAATCTTTCAAGAACAAATAAAACCAAACAAAGACGTCTCATCCTCCTGTACTTTGGTTCCAAGGCACACTCAGACAGGTTGGCTCACTGGCTATCCATTTGCCATATGCTTTCAAGTTTATTCTTTTATTCACTCCCACATTTTAGCCCCTTCCATTTCAGAAGAGGAACAGCTGCACAGACGCTCTATAAATAAACTACATAATTTATTGGAAGAGGTTTTTTGTTTATTTTTTTTTAAGCTGACACATATTCCCCAGCTCTATCCTTTTCCATGCTCTCTACAAAACTCAGTCAAGTTCAACTGCAGCTTGGGTTTGTCTGTACAGTGTGCTCAACCTGATAAACAACTGCAACTTTTTATCTATTAATAACAAACTGTATGTACTGATCTTACGTTCATTGTAACTACTTTCTATGTTAAGTTCATTTAGAACTTAACTGTCAGAACTTAACTATCATGACTAAACTATCAGAAATAAATTTGAGAAACGGTCCACAGGGTGGATGTGTATCGGTGAGACACAGAAATCTCAACACACAGCTAATTTCTGGTTCTCTGTGTGCTTTTTAACAAATCAGTGCATTTTCGGGTAGACAGGCCTCTCATCCTGTTACCAAGAAGAAAATCTGTTTTGTCTGCTCAGAGGACAGACAGACCTCTCTGACTAAGATCACTAATCTCATCTGTGTGTGCAGGAAGTGTGACAAATGGCTGGAGTAGTTTATCACACAAATGTAACCATCGAGTCATAAAAGGAATAAGATATTAACCTCCATAAACAAACTAGTGTTCTATTTCTCAGCACAGAGGAAGTATACATTGAACAAGATAAGGGTATGAAACACATGCTATTGATGAGATAAGGAGCTTGCAGAAACAGTACAGACATAGATATGTGTCATGCTATCCGAGTAAAAGTAAATGCCATTCCAAACTTTACTTTGGGGAAATAGATTTTGAAGAAATTTTGTCCACGATATGTACAGAGACTGTAAAACCAGCAAGGACACTCTGCAGTGGCATCTCCACTGTGCATCCTGGAGCACTGTGTTTTTATCATGCTTTATCACATCTCTGGCAAACAACCTGTTTGATGTGAACAGGGGGCACAGCCAAAGTAGTAACTCAGTGTTTCGTATACAGTTGTTTCCCTGAGAAAAATGAAAGCTGCTAGAAGATATTATGGACAACTCCTGGTGGGGGGCCAGTTGTCTTGAACTGGGGGTTTGAACATCTCTGTGCCACCGGGGAGAATCGGCTTCCAACGCGAGTTTGGGCCAGCAGGGCCTGGCAGGGCTGGAAGTGACAGTCTCTGCCTCGTGCTAAATCAATTTAGAGCAGCATCAGAGTCTTGAGGGACATGGTCAGCCTCAACAGCTGGTACACGGTGAGGCAGAAGGCAGTTTAACAGGGAGAATGACAATCCGTACAGAAAAGCAACCCCGGTTCACGCTGCTCGTGATCTCAAAACACTGCCCTGGCACACAGAAAGCTCTCACCTCCCTTGAGAAGTTATGGGGTGGTGAAATAAAAGAACCCTGTCCCCACACATGCAACAGAGAAGGAGCTGGAAATTTTCTCAAAATCATTTATCTGAGAAACAGAAGTAAATTTCTGAAGAGCCAGCAATGGAAGAAAACAGTCCTGTGATTTATTAGCCTCGAGACTCTGAAAAGAATTCTTTGGCCTTTTTCCATTAAGATTTTGCAACCTATGTTATAGCCAGTGGGAAATTGTTTAGTTCCCAAACCATGCCCTCAGTCATAAAATCTGTGAAGCTGATTCATTACTATTTATGTGGTGCCACGGGCGTGCATGGCATTTTACAGACAAAGAGAAGATACAGCCTCTGCCTTTAGAAGCTCAGGTGAATCCAACTGTCCACGTGTATGGGAAGCAGCACTCAGTGTCCTAGAGCACACACTCCTCATCACTACGAGTTAAGTATTGATACTCACCTGGGATGCTGGGAAGATTTAGACAGGAGGATACTTAGAAGACATGTAATTACTGTCTAAAAATTTGTGACATTATTTCATTGAAACTGTAAGACTTTTCAAGTCATGTTATTTTGTAATGGCTTTATAATGAATTATGAATTTCTGATAATAGGTATGATAGCATGAAGCAGTGTCACTACGAGATCAGACCAGAAATTCTGCACTGCCTACCAGTTTCTTCTCTTTTTGCACAGCTGAGGGTAAAAGTTCACAAGTTCCATCATACACCTCCAAACATACAACATAAATTACTGAAAGAAAATAATTAAATAATTTCTGTGATTATTGTTAAAAAAAAAACATAAGTGCACCAGGTCTCCAAACCAACTTCCTGAAGTACATAAAATCCTTTTCTGGCCTGTGTAGAGTGAGCAGTTACAGCTCTCTGTAAGAAACAGTCTGGGACCACTCACCTAGAAGGCAAAACTTCATCATGGCAGAGGTTGTGAAAACAGCAATTACTGTCAATAAGTGTAGGCAGGACCTGTTTGCTGGACTGAGACACTCACATTCAGATTTGCACACAGGATTAGCACACACCTTCATCTACAACCTTTGCACTGGCAATAAGGGTACATGTGACTAATTGGCTGGACAAGCAGGGTATCATATCTCCACACCATACATTTGTTATGAGAGTCAGATATAATGTGACTCCAGGAATTTTCATGTTGACACTGCTAAGCCTCTCACACCCTCTCCTATTTCCCTATTACTCTACACAAGCCTGTCTGTGCCTGCCCTTTTGGACAGCTGAGCAGCAAATATACCCAAAATAAACAAATTATACCACCTCTACATGAAGAAATGTCATTACTGCACATACAAATAAGGTACATGTGAACAGAATGGACAATTAAACAAGGCTGGTGCATGTCATACACAGGCAGACGTGTCCTGGCCCTGTAACACCACCCCAGAACACTGGTACCTACAGCACTTCTGTGAAGAAAACACCAGCAACGCCCTCCTCTGAAAGCAAGGGAGCTTGTCTTGTAACTCAGAAACTGTAAAAAAGGGAATACTGACTTCTTTTTTTGTTCACAATGGTGAGGGTCACAATTCCTCTTAAAATGGGAGCAATTGTGTACTTGATTCTTGTATTTAACACACAAATGAAAACCTGTATGGGGGAGGGAGGAGAGGAGGGAAGCATCTCCCACTGGTGTTGAAAACTCTCCCCCCATTCAGGTCTTTTAATTCTCCAGAGGTGACTATCTAGCTGAAACACACTATAAACCAACAAAAACCACCCCCTCTCTATAAGAATGATATTAAATTAAGAAGCCCCCAGGCTCTTAATGCTTTCTCACATGTCAGGGCTGTCCCCTGGCAGGTGCATGACAGCCCTGTGCTCCAGCCCTACTTATGTTCAGCATTTCTTTCATGTCAGTGGCTGTGCAATAGGTGGTGGAAACCTCTGCAATCAACATCAACAGAAGTGAAAGAATTAGCTGTAAAATGACTTACGGAGTAGCCTCTTCCTGAAAGCGATTGAGCAGAACTCTGTGGGAGGAAACAATATGCCACAGTAAGTAATGCAAGAGACTGTGTGTAATGTAAGATAAGAATCATTTCGAGATTCCCTCCCCCAGCCCAGTATTCCTCAGGGGGAAACCTCACAGCCAGAGCGCCTCAAAGGGGCTCCTGATATTCTGTGGTGCTGCCACGGGAGGAGCAGCCAAGGAGCACCTCCAGGTGAGGGCTCCAGAGCTGCCCCAGACAAGGGTTTGAGGAGCCAGAGCAGGGCTCTGACAGCTCCTCCCGACCGAGGGAACAGCTCCCGGCGTGGCAGACGCCTTCCCAGCAGCGGGGAACACATTTGGAGCCGTCCCTCTCCGGTGTGGTGGCAGCTTCCCGGGAACAGCACACACGTGTAAGGACGAGCTCCCGAGTCACGGCTGCGCATTTTGCCTCATCAGCTCCAACTTTCAATCATGTAACCACACATCCCACTTTCCATTCCCCTCTACGAATCCGTGAGCCTCCAGCCTTCACTGCTGCAGCATTACCACATGACAACTCTATCTGAAACAACAATAGCAGCAAAGCACTAATTCATCATCTCTCAGAGCTTTAATAAGCATTCTGTCCCTCTTGAATAAGTTAAATTACATTGTTTACTCCTGCTCTTCATTTCAGCTCCTCCTGCTCCTTTCTCTACCACATCCTTACCTCTTTCACATGCTGCCAAATCATTTGGTTCTTTTCCTTCTCATTACACCAGCTCCAGTCACTTGGATCCCTTTCCCCTCTCTACGACCCAACACTGTTGAGCTGCTGTTTTTTGCTGGCAGTGGCTTTCTCAGAGCAGCTGAATGAATTCCACTTCCAGCTCTAGCTGCTGCTATATGCCTTCGTTTCGGAAATTAAAAATAAGCTGGGAACAGTGGTGGCACACGACACCACATGACCCAGCAAGGACTCTGCAGGCCAATTTCCAAGTGTGATTTATAATCACGATGCCCTCGCTATGTGATTTTATTAAACAAGATCCAGGGAGTCTCAGCAGTCCTGTTTCCAAGACTGATGTTCTAGTGGGTACCAAAGCCTGACCAAAAATACTGAATTGTTGCAGGCTGATCTTGAGGATTGTTTGTCTTTTTGCACCAGTGCCAGAAGTTATCGTGTTAATAAATCAGCACAACAGCACAACACCCCAACGAGATTGATGCAAACCGATTGCAAACACTTGTAATTTTCCACCAGTCCCTTCATACTACCAGTTTGCAAACCTTTTGATGAGAGGATACCAAGATACACACAGAAACCTTTCCAGAGTCCTGCCCTCAGTGAAGACTCAATTGCCTCATCCCTCTGCCCATGCAGCTCAGTGCCACTGCCTTGCACCTGCCCCAGACAGGCAATTTGCCAGACAACTGCCCACAGAGGAAAGTTTCCAAAGCCAAGAACAGGCAACAGCAAAGTCCTACAACTGAGTGAGTGTGCTGCTGGAGGCAGGAGGGTTCCCTGTTCAGCCCATCACCAGCTGGCACAGGAACCAGGGTGCCAGATGGAAGGAAAGATGTGACACAGCTCTCAGACACAGCTCTGCAGCCCAGAGGTGACTGGGTGCCAGTCCCCACCCCTGGCACGCTACACCTGACCCTCTGTCCTGCTCCAAAGACCTCTGCACTGCAGGGAAAGGACAACTTTCACAGGGGAACCTGAGACAGCAATAACACACCAACAACAGCATTTAACTTCCCACCTTCTACCTATTGCACGTGTATTTGGCATCTGCCCTCAAACGCTACAAAAAAAGTAGGGAGTTATTTATAAACCTCTTTAATGTAAACTGCCCAGAAATAAAGCTGTAGACTGGTGAAATGAAGGGCAGTAGCATTTACATCTGTTTTTGAGAAATCATGGGAAACCTACCCCACCCTCTAAGTACTTTTTACCCCAAAGTACTCGTGGAATTCAGCCTTGTACAGAAAATGGGTTAACAACAATGTCCTGCTATCCATGTAAGTATGTCCAACAGCTGAACACAATTATCTGTTCCAACACTTTGGAGAGCTTGATCGGGCAGTTCACCTAAAGTAAACACAGAAATGAGGAGGGGGCAAATTACCTGCTTGGAGAGACAGGAGGAGAGAAGGAGAAAGGGTGGAAGTTCTCACTCCACCCCCTCCATCGACTCAGATTTAACCAAGAATGACAAGGTCTAACTAATTGGAAATAATAACCAAAAACAGAAACAAGAGGTTTCATTAGAAGCTTCTCTCTAGGGAAACAGCCTCTCAGAGCATTTTCAGTCTAACAGTTACTTTCAATCTTTGAGTCTTGTGCACACATAAAATATTTTCCCGGCATGGAGCAGACCCTTGGACAAGGAACTCAAATGCACCAACAACAGATCTGCTTTTCTTAAGATAACTTTAAGGCATCCCAAGCTGTCCAAGAACCCCAGGAATCTGCAGACCACTGATTTAAAACCACCAAGTAGAAAACAATAAAAACAGTTGCTGAATAAAGTGTTACATCAGAAATAATTAAAACTGAATGGCAATTAATTCTGGCATTTTTCACATCCACAAACTTCTTCCTCCCTTAGAAGTTCTAACATTAAATTCCCTGAAAATCAGGGGGGAGGAAGGAGGAAGGGTGGGGTTTTTCCCCCTCCCTCAGAATTTTTATTGCATGCATAAAGTTAGTAACTGGTGAATTCTCTGGATTTGACTTGTAAAATCCTCTCCAACGATGAGGTTTATGCACAGCCAAGTCCCACACTCTCCAGAGCTCTTTGTATGCTTTTTTTCTGTTGCTTTCTTGGTTAGCTGGGAACACTGGGACTCTTTAGGAGGATCCACACCAACTGCCACATGTAAAAGCTTTGAAAACCCCCAGCTAATATCAGCTACAAGTGCCAGAGCAGAACAGTTTGCGTGCAACTGTGATGGATGTTCCCAAAGAAAAAAATCTTTGGGGGTTAATATAAACATAGCTCAATCCGTATGTCTCTATATCAAGATCAAATAATGAGAAAAGTAATCAATCGTGGCTGCAAATATAAGAAATCTTAGTGGAAGTTTAACTTGGCATCTGCCCAAAGCTGAAGAAACCTCCTTTGACTGTGAATGAGGGCTTGTCTGGCAAGAGCAGTTACTGGGGCAAGTCTTCAGCTGGAATGACTTACCCAGGCTCTTACCTACAGGACAGGAGCACTCACATGGAGGGCTGTCAGAAAACCCTTATTCTCAAAATAGTGTATTTGCTGTTTGGGTCCGTTTTCTTCCCATTGGAAGGCCCTCAGGCAGCAGGGGACAATGGTCACCACGGCACCCAGCCAGCCACATCCCTGCTAGTGCTGCACCCACCAGCACAGCACCAAACCCAAACCCAAACCAGCCCTTACTGCTGCAACCCAGGCACCCCAGACAGCTCGTCCTGGCCCTCAGACAGTGCCTGCAGAAAGCACTGCTGGCAGGGAAGGGGCTGACAGACACAGCTCAGAGACACCACTGTCACCCCACCTGGCCAGCGCTCTGCAGCCAGAGGCAGAACAGCTGCCACATCATCCTGCCCTTCCCAAAGCCTTTGGATCTGCAAACCCCAGCACGGCACAGAGAAGTGGGAGATGGGGAGCATGGAATGCCAGCCCTCCGAGTATGGAATTCCAGAGTATGGAATGCCAGAGTATGGAATGCCAGCCCTACGTGAGAGCAACCCCAAGCACTCCCTGGGGAGGGCAGGGGCCCTCCCTGCCCGGTTTGAGCCCTGCCTTTGTGCCTCTTCCAGTGCTCTTTGGAATACCCAGGGTTTCTGAGGGAGGCTGTTACTAGTTAGGGGCAAAATGAGTGTGGTCTGTGCATTTAATGACGCATAAGTGGAGCTGCACTGCTAGATGGCATTTGTGCTCAAAGATAAATGGCTTATAATATTTTGCAGATGATGCGCCTCTTTTACAACTAAAGATTTTTGGTTCCTTTTAAGCCCAAGGTTAAAAACAAAACCAGACAGCACAGACATTTCAGTTATGTCACAGAGTGAATTATTTCTACCCTGGGATAGCTCTCGTGTTAATTACACTGGATATAAAAAAATACACCTTTCTGGCAGCAAAGGCAAAATCTGACTGCTGAAAGACTCTACTATCCCCCCCACTGATGCCCTTGAGAGTTTGAGTTACACTGCAACCTGCAACTGTATTTAAAAAATTTCTTCCTTTATTTTTGATTAAAATGGTGATTGCAATTTAGAAAAAAAGAAAATCATGACAAAATCTCACCAATAACCTGCAGCAGGGTTTCCAAGATTGTCTACTAAATTGACATGAAAAGTTATTTCCCTTGTATAAATAAAAGCATGGCCTTCCACTGCTCTCATGATGCAAAGGAAATCAAGACACCCTCTGTTCACTTTCTTAAATCCATCAGGTTACTTATTGAACTAGAAAGACAGCAGGAAGGGCTTTAAAATCCAGTAATAATCACAGTAATAGGGCACCTCAAGCCAATTCCCCTCTCTCAGTGGGTCAGGCAGGTTTCAACTTGGATCTTTTGTATCCTTGATATAAAAACTAACTATAAGGGGATTATGTTAAAAGCAGGTGATGGCAGCACAACCACAAAATTAACTTGTTTGTAGTGTTTTCTTCCCTCCTCTTTGGCAAAAGACCTAAATTAACATATTCCAGAAATGTCAGGAGTTCATTCCTGATTTTCTGACATGTGCCACTTTTGTTGGCTGAAACCTGAAGTGTATCAAGTACCTCCCAGTCAGGTGTTTTCAGCCAATAGCTATTCCTATGTGGGCACAGGACAGTCCCCAAAAAGTGCCTCCCACCACTGCTGTTAATCCCATCCTAGAACATGCCCAGTGTCCCCCGAGGAGCCCCCAGCAGAGGAGGGAACTGAGGCAGATTTCCCAGCTCCTACTTAGTGCCCAATCCTGCCTTGCCAAATCACAGGCCCAAAGTTACCATAGAGCCCAGTGCCACAAGCCTGATTGGGTTGATTATCACTCAGCTGAGTTAAGCAACAGCATGTACAGAGATGGGA